CAATCCAATCCGTCTCAGAATGGTGAGATTTAATTATAGGCAGGCTATATAAAATGTAACATTAGTCGAAGGTTCTATTGTGAACAGAATTAGTAGGAAATATTGTCATCATTATAGGATGAATCAATAAGGAATAATCCAAGTAATTTTCATTTATTCTATGACACAGTTAGAGACCTATGGAGATCGTCGTGTTACATTGGCATCGTGAGTCGATCACGATCATGTTAGTCAACAATCATTAACAAGGTCGTAACTGTTATCTTCAAGGAGCTGACATTCACTGATGGAGGGAAACCCACGCTTTCAGTCCTCTAATCTCAAATCTCGCTACTAAGACATATGGAACAATGGATGATGACTTTTATTGTGATTTTACTTGTATAGCTAATGTGACTGGAGCACATGTTATAAGATAAGAGAAAACCGTAAGGCTTGTAACAGATAAATAAATCGTTTGGTTTTCATTCAAAAAATCTGTTCATCATTTTGCTTATTGAAGAAAAAATAGACTTCAAGGTTTCAGGTAATGAGTAGGAAAAATAGATTGAATGGTAAATGAAATCTGACAAACAATTTGTAGCGTTATGATATGCGGTCTTTGACAGTTGACACGTACACATACTCATCCGACCTGACTACTTGAAAAGACAAGTTGTTCGAAATGTGAAGTTTATTTGATAGAACCAAATTACATGCATACGTCCTAATTTACTCCGAAATATCTGTCTCTTAGGTGTTTAGGTCTATCAGTGGTGTATATTTTATCCTTTGGAAATGAAAGCCATTTCTTGACTAATTACATACACTTATCTTCTTCACATTTCTCTTGTGTTTCTCGGTAAATTTGTTCGAGTGCCCGCAGTCAATTCAGTGATGATAAACAAGAAAACGCTTATTTTTCCAAATGGATGTTCTATCATAAGGTGGAGACTTTGTGGCTCGGTAATCTCGCCTCTCCCGTCCTTCCATGTTTTCCAACACTACACTACAACTAGTGGAGCTGCAACCAAATTGCCACAAGTAAGAGGTAGGTAACACGAATTAAATCTCCTCCCTTCCTGACTCATGAATTTCGATGTAAGTTTAGATACCATAACAAGCAGTCCATTGGTACAGGTAAGAACGTGAAACAAATCAATCATTTTCTCAACCTAAATTACAGTATATTTGTATAGAACAATTATATTTATATGCCATTAGATAGTCTTTAATTGTATAGATAAATGTTCTCGACTTTTGCATATAACTTTGCATAGAATTCAAATATTCAGTGTTCATGAACAAGTTCTGAGTAGAATTAGGATAGACGGGATTTTCCAAGACACGAGCATGAATTTGAATAAGACACAATTACTTCAATCATTCGTCAATGTTGCATAGCTCACCGTCGACTGATACCGAGTGACAGATACAAAGTACCAATCACAATAACTAATTAGCACCAGACCACTTCACTTTAAATTCCATGAATAAAATAGAAGACTGTGTTGGAAACTACTCCTGCAAATGATAGTAATATGGTGTCTCGGTAGTTGTCACAGTTGCTGAGATCGCTTTTATTTAATCTGTCGATTGTGCCTCCTTGTATCCAGTTTGTCGGTACATGTTGTTCCTCTCAAATCTTTCTACAAACATTGTGTATGATCCTCTCAGTCGCTTCTATGTCCACTTTCTCTACCACAGTTGGGATGTTGTCTGATCTTGAATCTTCTCCAAACTTGGTTTGTCGGATGGATATATCGATTTTTTCAACGGTAGGTGGAAGACATTAACAGCAGTGTCTGTTCGTGATACGCCAGTGTTGGTTGTGTTTTTGTGAGAATGGTTCATTGTAGACTTCATTACAGTACTCTAACAACCTGTTTATCTGTTCTTGAATAGTGCTGACTGGTTTGAATATCATAGTTTCGAATGAAGCTTTTTGTCGCTGAAAACGCAGAAAGTAGTATAATTTGTGTGTAATGTGTGCCTATTTTTGTGTGTCTTTTAAGATCGCTTTCAAAATGCAATGATGATTTTGGTTGCAATTGGATAGTTGAGTTGGAATACAATATAGATATCCATGGTGATTGTTTATTCGCGATTCCACTTTGATGCCTTTGCGAACAAAAATACAGGTATTTTTGTAGCTGCTATGCAGCATGATGTGAAATAAAAGTAGTGATGCGTGGGGAATAGGATGCTAATCCAGGCATTCCTACGTTTCCATACGCAATCAACTGGGCATTTCGATCGAATGTCTGTATATTTGAAATTTCTAAAAGCAACTACACAGAAGTATCAATGTGCATTACTTCAAATCTACTTGTAAATTATGTTAACATCGCAGATGACGAAGTAAGCTTGAAAGTCATACACTTTTTCGATGCCACAGTGTACCCAAAACAAGAGGTGTAGTGGCGACATAAACTGACACACATTTCAAAGACGTCACACTGCATACTACCCAACTTATCGATGCTACAGAATCATGCTGGTTCAAATTGAAAAAAATTTT